GTAGAAGACAGACTGAGTTTCAGGGTGAATGACTTGCCCAGGGTCACTCAGTCAAAGCCAAGATTATGATCCAGGCCGTTTTTCCAAAAGCTGTGCTCTTAGTTATTCTACTATACTTCTCCCAAATCATACTTGTTAGACTGATGTACTGTTCATGAAAGCATCATGGTTTCAGCAATAGATTAATTTAGGTGGAGGATATGTGAATAATTGTTAAACTATTACAGTTTTCTTTAGTCAGGGAAATAAGCATTTTGGATTAACTTGGACCTAAAAAAACTTTTTTAAAACTATTACATAATAAAGCTTTCCAAATTATCAGTTAGAACCTTTGACCTTACTGTTTACAATTTCTGATCTAAGTGGTCTTCAGTAGAAATGTACTGAATAGAAGGTTCACCTTTCTGTTCTCAGTTTTCTAACTTTTTCCCTGAATCTGGACCTCTGTCAGCGGAGGGACCTTTCATCTGCTTATATGACCTGGAGAAATGGTCTCAAATATATTCAGGGCAATTGTTGCTGAAAAGCCAAACTGTAGAGAAGTGGTAATAGTCTTTTATGGTATAGATTGAAAGAAGTCACCAAATATTTTGTTTTCTTTCTAGTTTTAAAAAGTTTTTTCTATTCTGATAAACCATTTTGGTTTTTCTTATTTTCTAGACCATAGTCTTGAGTTTACTTATGAGGTCAATTGGAAATAAGAACACCATTTTATTGGGTCTGGGATTTCAAATATTACAGCTGGCATGGTATGGCTTTGGTTCAGAACCTTGGTAGGTATAAATATTTTAATTTTCTTAATTTTGGTGCTTGCCTTTGTTATATTTTTTTTGGCTTTATTGAGGTATAATTGACAAGTGAAATTTTTGTGTTTATTTGCGTCTAAACTAAGGCTTAGATGTTAATCTGTCTCTTACTGTGCTTTTTTTGTCTCAAAATGTATATAATACAAATTTCTCACTTGTGTATTTATATATTCTTGAATGGCTTGAAGATAGAAAAGTGACATTTTATATCTAAGTGACAGGTTGGATTTTTGAATGAGATTATTGAGTTTTTTAATCTTTATTGAGTATTTTATCTAGATCAGTCTGTCATCAGGAAAAAACATGTAATCCCAAAGCAACAAGGCCCTGAAAGTTCACATTATTTACCTTTGGTTTTCTGGTTAGAAAAAAAAAAGTTGAGTACCACTGGTGATCATTACTGATGGGAAACCAGAAGGGACTAAGTCCAGTCGTTTTGGTCCCGGCTTCATGCCGAGAAAAGTCTCTCTGCTTTTCTCGCCAGTCTGGTTTCCTGCAGGGAGGTGATGGTGACGCTGATGTCAGGCTGCCCACATATACCTTCGTGCTCAGGTTATAGGTTGGAACTCCACAGTTTGCACTAGATGGAACACATCGTCCCTGTTTGGACTTGGATGTGAGTAAGCATCAAGAGTGTGTTTTCATGGATATTTTGTTTTCCAGTCTAGGGTTTACGAAGAACTGCTTGCAATTTAAATTATCAAAACATTTCTTTTAAACATCACTCAGGAGCATCCAAGGTTTAAATCAAATCAGTAATATCTTCACGTTGAATCACAGGTCCATGGGAACCTTGCCAGAAGAGTTTCTGGCTTCATATGTTTAGAAACACTTAATAATGTTTCTTTATGTGTATTATACATTATTCTCACGCACTCTCCCCCAACCCCTGCAAAAATTAATACCCAACACATTTTACAGTTTGGAATGATATCCCAATTCTGCATTAAAACCCCATGCCATTCTTGCGAATAAGTTGTATTTCTGCTTTCCAGAAGAGTAAACAGGGTTAGACTTTTAAAGTGACTTGCCCAAAGTCACACAGGAAGGAAGAAATAGAGCAAGTACAGTTCTCCTTTTGCCTGTACCGCAGCCATTTCACAGTAAAGGTTACTTGATGTTAAGTCTGTTATTTTGATTTTTGTGTGTGTGTGAGGATGATTGGCCGTGAGCTAACATCCATTGCCAATCTTCCTCTTTTTGCTGAGGAAGATTAGCCCTAGCCAACATCTGTGCTCATCTTCCTTTGTTTTGTATGTGGGACACCACCACAGCATGGCTTGATGCTCGATGAGTGGTGTGCAGGTCCATGCCCTGGATCCGAACCTGCGAACCTGGGCCACCGAAGCAGAGTGCGTTAACTTAACCACTATGCCACCGGGCTGGTCCCTGTATTTTGATTTTGACAGGTACAATGAAGAATAATGATTGACTGATTTTGTTTTGCTGCTTTTGATTCTAGGATGATGTGGGCCGCTGGGGCCGTAGCAGCCATGTCTAGCATTACCTTTCCAGCCGTCAGTGCACTCGTTTCACGAACTGCTGATGCCGATCAACAAGGTGAGTTGATAGGAACCAATGATAATTATTTAAAAGTACAGAATATTCTAATCCTATGTTCTCTCTCTCTCTTTCCTAAGTACTGAAACTTAAGTATATCTTTCAGGTAGAGAATTTTAAATAGCTTTAATTGTAAAGAGGAAAAGCAGATTCTAGGTATTACCCGTAGGTGGATACATATAGCCTTGGCTCTCATTTTGAATGTGTCCCTCTCTGTTCTTTTGCTAGAAAATTTAGTGACGAAGGTCACCCACCTTATATTCACTAACCATTTATTTATTGTTTGCTATGATATGCTAGATACCTTGGGATACTCTCATAACCCTTTTATTAAAATCTTATGGTTTCAGTTATCTAAAGACATAGAAAACGTATTTTTGTCGTCTTATGCTTTTGTGGCAGGAACACTTAATTCTTGAAATGCTAACAGATTAGGAATAATTCTTTGAAAAGGATGTTTTATCTAGTCATAAGGAAAAGGAAAAAAGGATGTTACACAAGAGTGGCAGCGGTCACTTGGTTAATAAATGAGGAAGGAAAGACCTGTGGTCACAGCAAGTTGCATTTTAAGTTTGAGAGAAGATCCCAGAGATAAACAAAAATCAAACTATAAGAAGAGTCTATATTTGACTATATGGGGTCTGAAGTATCTTCTTGGGGACAGAGTGTTTAACAGTTGTGCTTGTGAACTCATGCCTTATTTTTAGCCAAGGGGCGTTTTAAAGGAAAATAAAGTGCTTTTGCCCACTTGTTTCTTTTATGTTAGACGGGTATACCTGTCACATTTTGCATCAGATAGCTTACTAGACTTTGTAGAGCTGATGGTGTCTAAGTAATTTCTAAGGCCATCGCAGTAAATTGCTAGTGTCTCATAAAAGCTTGGGTTTTAGAATGATTTCATGTTTGTACTGGTTCTAGGGTAGGAAAAAATAAGTGTACTAAATTATTTGTTTAAACCATTTAGGTGTTGTTCAAGGAATGATAACAGGAATTCGAGGATTGTGCAATGGTCTGGGACCAGCTCTTTATGGATTCATTTTCTACATATTCCATGTAGAACTTAAAGAACTGCCGATGACAGGAACAGACTTGGGAACAAACACAAGCCCACAGCACCACTTTGAACAGGTAATTCTTTATTCACAAGATAAAAATATAGTTTATTTGGCTGGATTGAAAGATGATAAATGTTTTTTGGTCACTAAAGCTTTTATGTGAGATTCTTATTTTAGATGGAATAAGATACTTAAAAACCAAAGCCTAAGGGACCGTGTTCTCCTATATTCCTCTTCGTGAAATTAGCTGTGCATACCATATCTATTTTCCCTGGAGGATTAAACATTAAGTATCCTAGTTTGTCATTTTACACCTAATGGCATAGGTAATACCCATTTGTCTATACTACTGCGTGTCTTTCATCTGAGACTTTTGTGATGTTCAAGTTCCCTGTGTGAAGCCTGCCTTCCGTCTGAAGAGTCAGGTGCTGGTAAACATCTTTGTTCACTGGTTTGCTATACTACCCTCCTTACAATTGAAAATATTAACGGCAAACATTATCATTTTAGCCAATACAAATAGCTCATCAGTTTCTTTGCTTGTTTAGCAGAATTCTACAGTGATCCTCTAACCAGCTAAGACTACTTTTAAATAAAAAAGAATGTTTGTTTGTGGGCTATACACAGCTAAAACTGGCAGTACAAGTTTCTGCTAAGAATGAATGTAATTTTGAGCTAAAACAAAAGTCTCTGAGTCTTCTCATGGTAACAGCATCATCTGTTTTCTCAACTCTCAGTCACTAGAGAATATAATTATCTTTTTAAACAAAGAAAATGGGAATTGATTCTGCTACTGTGGTTAATATTGTATGCTAATTGATTTTACTTTTGAGATCTTCCTGTTTTCCTCTTGAACTAGCAAATTAAGTGAAGGCTCACAGAACACGTTCAGATTTTGTGCTGCAAGTGACAATATGATATTTTTGTATAGGCTGTTTTTTAAAAATCTTTTGGCTGTTTCTTGGGTCAGTTGTCATCCCCAGAATTTTATATTGAGAGTATAAGTATCCTTTTTCTCCTAAAAAGAGAATGCTTTTTCTAACTGTGGCTTTAATGAAGAAAGAGGAACCATTGGCTTGTAATTCATAGCAATCAGTTATTACTGAAAGATAAGCAGTGTTTTCCTCTGAGCAAAGATGTCTATGCAGAAATCCTAATTATCTTTTTCTTCCTCAGAATTCCATCATCCCTGGCCCCCCCTTCCTCTTTGGAGCCTGTTCGGTACTGCTGGCTCTGCTTGTTGCCTTGTTTATTCCGGAACATACCAATTTAAGCTTAAGGTCGAGCAGTTGGAGAAAGCACTGTGGCAGTCACAGCCATCCTCATAGTACACAAGCGCCAGGAGAGGCCAAAGAACCTTTACTCCAGGACACAAATGTGTGACAACCGAAATCAGGAAGACTTTTCTATCAGCACCCAGGTCTTAGTTTTCACCTGTAGTTCTGGATGTACATTCCATTTCCATCTACAGTGTACTTTAAGATTGTCTTAAGAAATTATCTGCATGAACTGCGTGGGAACTAAAGAAAGAACCAACCGGACAGTTTTCCAAAGATGTTACAATTTCTTTTGAAAAGAAACCTTTTGTTTATTAGCACCAATTTCTTGCCACTAAGCTGTTTGTTTTATTATACATCCTTTAATTAAAAACGATATATGTAACTTCTTAGATCCTAGCACCGTCTCTGCTACCACTTCCTTCAGGTGTTGAGCTTTAACTCCATCATGCTGACTCGCAGTGAGACAGCAGGTAGTACGGTTGTGGACCCGTTTGTTTTAACATTGTAAAATCTTGAGTCAGATTTTAATATCGTAAAATCTTGGGTCAAATAATTCAAAGCCTTAATGCAGATACACTAAAGTAAAGAAACGATAAATTGTTTGCATTTAAAAAAAAACTCTTAAGAAAACTGTACTAAATCTGAATCATGTTTCAAGCTTGTTTGTAGTAATTTTATTTTAAACATTATTCACTACTGTTTTTGAAATGAGAAAATATCAGCCATTTAGAATTTAAATTGGGGTGTTTAGAGCCTGTAAATCTAAATGCTGGCTCAAATTTGTACCCCAGCTACTTATACCACTATTCTTTTAATGTTTGCATAATCATAAGAACCTCAACACTTGAATACATAATCTAAAAATTATCTAGTCAAGCTGGTAGCCTTGAAAATGTCAATGTGATATCTATCTGTAGATAAATATATATAGTGGCCTTTCGGGACTGTCACAGTAACACTTTATTTACAGAGCTAATGTTTGTCCTAAATTTTCAGGACCCTAGAAGAGAGCTTTATACAATTACTGATGTGAATTTCTCTAAAGTGTATATTTTTGTGTCCAGTTATATTATTTAAAAAAGTGTTACTTTGTAAAAATTGTACATAAAGTATTGTATAGTTTACACTGTTTTCATCTTGTGTGTGGTTATTGCTTAATGCTTTTTAAACTTGGAACATTCACTATGGTTAAATAAGGTCTTAAAAGAAATGTAAATATTCTGTTAATAAAATTAAATATTTTAATGATTTTTTTTTTAAAGAAAGTCTTGATCTGTGATTCCCTGTAAGGCCTGTTTTGACTTTGTTACCATAATCATTTTTACAGTAACAAATCAAAGCTTTGAATCCATTTCCCTTCCCTCACTATAAAATACTCTTGTAGGAAGACAAAAGGAAAGAAATGAAAACGTAGTCCATACAACAACTGGAAGTACTTAATTTTCTAAGCATAGATATTGTAGGTCAATCCTATTTCTGTTTTTATATACTTTTTATATCATACTCCCAAAATAATAATTTATTAACAAAGCTCACACAGTTTACAGAAATACATTAAGTGCAACATTTTGATTATCAACACATGTACAATTTTACACTGCAAAACAATTTCAAATAAAGTTTAAGAGGTAGAGCAAAGAATTAGCACACTCAGAAGTTTGTATATGTACATTTAATACAAAAAAATATCTTCAGCAAGTTTATATCAAAATTATCCTATCTTTTGGAAATTCTCCCATTTTTCCATGTGTAGATATAGAAAAGGATAGCTATATTTAAAAAAAAAAAAAGCTACCTGTATGTCATGTACCCCATCCAAACCCCGTCTCAGTGTTTTATATATTTTACATAGTACGTACAAGAAAGATTCTAATACCACCAAGAGGCTTCTCTCCAGATTAGTAAGTGCTTTCAAGTTACTGTAACCAAGTATTCTTACTAATATATCTAAATGAGGAAAGAACTGCATATAAAAAGTCTAATAATAGTTACTAAATTTTTTAGACTAGATCCTTAGTTTAAGACAGCTTGCAATTGCCAGCAGAGCTCCAAAGTATCGTAAGACTCAACGTCGTCGCTTCATAAAAAAATCAGCAAAGATTCTTTGTCTTATCATGGAACCCAATAATGTCAGTATGTCACTAGTATCTTGAAATGTCTTTCCTCATGTATGTAATAAGGTCCTTGAAAATAATTTTTTAAATATCACATGAGCATTAGCAATCTTGGCAAGCAAAAACTGATTTAGAGGTTTCTTAAGAGAATGCTATTCTGTACTGGATGGCTGTCAATAAGAAAACAACGGGACCCTATGATTCTGGGTGAATTATTTTAAATCACCTGGTTTTTTCCAAGGAACTATTCTTACTTGAAACTTTTAGTTATAGAAGAAAAGAAAGTTGTAACTACTTCTTCCAAGTTAATTATTTTGTCTACATTATTAAGCAAACATCAAAATGAACCCGTTCTGACATTATAAACAAACATACAATGAATATTCATGATGCTCTTTTAGTAAAGATTTTGTATAGTACAATTTTTAAAACAAAATTCCACTATTACAGATTTAATTGCATAACTAATAAAATTGAAATAAAAGAGGAAAACTGGATGAGTGTAGACTTCCAGGAAGCATTAAAATCCTACAAACCTTGCAGCTCAAATGACTAAAGCACTTTATACCCAATCTGGTCAAGTAAATAGACTGTCCAAATTATTTTTATAATATATTTATCAAAATTACTTACTAGACTTATTCAATAGTTAATTTAAAGGCTTCAAGGAAAATATTTACTTGCTATGAAGGATTAATTCAGTAATTTAAGCTAATTTTAGGACTTTCCCTTTACTGAAAATATCAATAATATAGATACCTTAGGAGATAATCATTTTCCCTGGTAATTCTCACGCAGCAAATTTAAAACTTTTATTTTACCAATGAAAACGATAAAATGAATTAATAGCATTCTTTGGTTTCATACTACTAGGTCTGAGCAGGTTTTAATTTACCCAGATATTCAATATGATTAGAAAGTCCCTTGTAAGGATCAACTCTTTCCTTAGAACTTATGAGAATTTCTAAGGATTAGATTAATAAAATTCATAATATTATTCCATAAATCACCATGTTCACCGTCTAAAAAGTGTCATTTTACTCAGAATCTTTACCAATCCCCAAGCACGAATCTGCTCCTCTAACCTGCCGTCAACAACACAGTGCTTAAAGGATGTGGACCTAACAGCAGCTCAAGTAAACTTTGAAACTCACTTGTTTAAGATTTGATCTATGCTGTTTCCATATTTTTAAACCACATGAATTCCTAAAATTTCAAAGAAAAATGAAAGATGACACTAAGATTAACTGTTTGGTAATTGCCCGGGGAAATACGCTGAAGATGTAGACGGGAGCACTGCGGATTTTGAAGATGTCTGTAATGCTCCTAAAGTGCCATCTTTTTGATGGTCTGCAAATGAGGACAAAAAAAGATTATATATATTCACTTCGGTCTATATAATACATTTAATTAAGTCACAGTGTACACATCCATTTCAGAAATGTCTTCTCACCTGGATTATTAAATAGATTTTGGCTGAGCCCACGTAAAGGAATGCTATCTTCCCTTTTCTTCAGATATTTGGATTCCAGCCCTAAATTTTCACCACTTAAAAAGAAAACAGTAATTATTTACTTATTTTAACAAAGCTTTATTTTCTCTTTAGTAGTTAATTTTGAAGGTTTATCTAATCTATATACATATACTACATATAATTAAGTTATATTTATAGCTTTGTTCAAAACAAATCACATTCTTCACTGATTTCTTAAGCAAATAATTTATCTATTCATAAGCCAAAGTACCCTTCTTCCCAGTAAAGAGTAAATCATAATAAATAACACTAAAAATTCTAAGAATCGGAATAAGGAATGTGGGGGAAATGAAAATTCTATGAGTACTATAAAATTTTAAAGAATAGCACATAAGTGATACATGATAGAAGAAAAATATACATGTTTATGCATTGAGAATATCATTATTATTTAATAATTTCTCTCACCTTGTATTTAAAATAAGATTTTTTTCCTTTGACCAAAAGCTCTTCAAAATTTTGTAGTGCTTCAAAGTTGTCATTATTAAATATTAATATACATTGTACAATAATGAATTCTAATCAGATGAATACAAATATGAAATTTTGAAAAAAAAAGAAAAAAAGGGGGGGCATTTCTGTAGCTGTATTTTTCCCCCTTCTACCACTATATTCCTTGTTTCTCAATCTGTTCAGTGTTAACAATTTCTCTAGTAGTACACTTTTAACAAGAAATTAAGACTTGCAAAACAATGACATTATATCCTTAAAATTAAATGATGGTCTTTGCCCAATTTTCAGAAAAGAATTAAGTAGTTGAATAGGTATTTTTTTCAATTTTAATTTTTTTTCTTTAATTTTTGATATCCATTGCCACTAGCTGACAACAGATAAATCAATTTGCAACAGAAAAAACTCAAAATACCCGAATAGTCTTAATTTTATGGACACATGATTATGTTTGATTTTGTACCATAAACATGATCATCATATTTTCTTCAAGTAAAATTGCTCTTGAAGCATAGCTCTTGCTATGAAGGAGTTAAATATATAAACATTATGGTGTTCTACCATTAATATAAATTCCAGGTGCTCTGCCTCTTGAACAAGTGTGAGATTAAATATAACAAATGTATCCATTTCAGGACTTCAAAGAATTCTGACCTTTTTTAAAAAGGAAGACTCAAAAACACTATTTTAATACTAGTCTTGGTGTCAATTTTAGAGAAGCCAATGAATAAAGTCCAGAAAGCTGGCATAAGAAGCCTCTTTGAAACATGTCAGTAATTTAGTTTGCAATATACTGGGATGGTAACAGCCCATGACGAGTGCCAGCAGACAGGCCTTAAAGCCATTAAATTTTAAGTAAATAAGGAAGCATAATGATAAGAAAACAATATTACAAACATGAAGACTACCCAACCCAGAGAGACCAATTTGCATATATGAGTTGTTTAATTTAGCCACAACTCACTGATTCAATAAACTTCACAATGCAAAACCTGTTTAAGATCTAAAAAATAGGCAAGGAATCTCTGAGTAGGCAAAACAGAAGTCACAAATTGGCATTAAAGCTTATTTATGTTAGCTATGGGACAATCTCATAAGCCTTTTTACTGTTATTTACCAAAGATTTCTAGCTGGTTTCTCAGATTACTTTCCACTGGAAGAAATAATTCAGAAAAATGGAGAGCCTCCAGAGACAGACATAGCCCTACAGGAAAACAAAAACAAAACAGGCAACTACAAGAAATTAAAAAGATTTCTATCTATTTGCCCAAGAATATTTAAAGGGGTGATCTTTGGTTATCTAGGAAAATCACTTAAAAAATACAATTTTACTATATGTCTGTCTCCTGCAATTTAAAAAAATATGAGAAACCTCTTTCTTATAGCTATAAGTGATTCAACTTAAATTCCACTAATCAGCAACCTAAAATATCACAATCAAGTGGGCATCGTAGCTTTCAAGCACTGATAAAATCCTTTAAGATGACTTGTAAAATCGTAAACATTATGGGCCAGCCCCGGTGGCCTAGTGGTTAAGTTTGGTGCGCTCCGCTTCGGCAAACCGGGTTCGGTTCCTGGGTGCAGACTCACACCACTCATCTGTCAGTGGCCATGCTGTGGCAGCAGCTCACATACAATAAGAAGATTGGCCACAGATGTTAGCTCAGGGTGATTCTTCCTCAGCAAAAAAAAAAAAAAAAAAAATTATGTCAACAAGTACTTACTTTTCCTTGTCAGTTGAGCAAGCCATACTAACAGTTGTTCCTGACTGAACATCTCCTAGTGATGTATTTGGTTTTGTAAACTGCAAGTTAAAATGAACCTGAGAAGAGGAAAAACAACTCATGTAACTGAATTAGCGAGAACTGAGACAGCTCTATATGGAGATAGGTGGTTAAAGTATTTTCTAATAAATCTAGACCATAGAAATACAGGTTCAACCTATATTTTGTAACACAAGCACATTATACTGAGAAGATTTAATAAAAAGAATCCCATTTCTCCTTGCCAAAAAAGTTCCTGTCACATAAGTAAGAGGAAGAGCACAAAATAATTCTCTTATCAATTATTTTGAAACAATAACATGAACGTTAATACATTTAAATAAGTGTTAGAGCGCTAAAAGTAACCAAGTACCGCAATGATACATTACCTCATGCATTCTGGGAATCCTTCCCTTCCAAGAACTTTCAAAGCCTGTTATATTTATTTAAGGATTCTAAATGATGGCTAGGGATTTGAATATTGAAACAGTCAAAACTAATCCAAGAATCTATGCTGTATCTCTTGCAAGTGGAAAAATGCCTGGCCGTAGTACACATTCATTAAATATTTATTGAATGAATGAATCCACGGCTATTATTGTCTTCCAAAATAAAGGAGAAGAAACAATTCACTTTGTTTTAAAATTGAGATTATATTTCAAAATTATCTAGTGTTCTATTTGTTAGCATGGCACAATCTTTTAAAATACTCTTCCGTATTCTTTCAGCATGATTTTGTTTCTTGCTTAATTTAACTTGCTATTTTTTTTATATAAATATACATATATTTTTTTGTGAGGAAGATTAGCCCTGAGCTAACATCTGTTGCCAATCCTCCTCTTTTTGCTGGGGAAGATTGGCCCTGGGCTAACATCCTTGCCCATCTTCATCTACTTTATATGTGGGACACCTGCCACAGCATGGCTTGATAAGCAGTGCATAGGTCGGCACCTGGGATCTGAACCCGTGAACTCCGGGCCACTGAAGCAAAGTGCGCAAACTGGTTTTAACCACTACGCCACCGGGCCGGCCCCTAACTCATGTTATTTTACATCTTCACAGTTAAATATCTATTTGAATGTCCTAAATCTTGACAGTAACATTTTAAGACATCAGGTATATCACAGATTGAATGTCATGAAATAAAATTTTGTTTGTTTGTTTAACTGCAACTAAAAAGACCATGTTTTAATTGCCAAAGCTGCTAGTACAAGACTACCTAGATCAGGTCTCCAAAGTAGGCAGTGATTACTACCATCCATCAAAGTATAAGAAGAAAATCTTATAACTGGTTTACAGACATTTTTAATCTCATTCATTAACTTCTATTTTTGAGTACATTTTATTATTAATAATAGATAACAGATAACATTTATGAAGCACTTATCATGTACAAGGCACTATTCTAAGCAAAGTCATTAACTCAGTCTTCACAATAATCCAGTAAAGTAGATAAAACTATTGCTCCATTTTACAAGTGGAGAAACTGAAGCATGACAGTTGGACGTTGTTTTTTGCTTGTTTGTTTTTCAGTGCCTTCACCAACTTCACATTGATAGAGGCAGGATTTAAACTCTAACATCACATTCCACTTTCTTAACCACTAAACTATACTGTATATAATATAGTAGTTGAGCACTATATGCATACAATTCACAAATAAATAAATATTCCTGTATTAGAGATTCAACCTCCAAGTGTTTTGTTGTTTACGGTTTTTTGTGTTTTTTTTAAGTAGTGGGGATACACGATCAAAAGAATATGGAGATTAATGATACAGGAAACACTGAAATTCTTGCTCCTATGTTTAAGAACATCCCTGTTATAATGATTCTTCTGATTCCGGAAGAGATATAAGAAAGGTAATCTTATTCTTTTATAAGTCATATGTAGTTCTACCAACTAGGCAACTATCTGTAGCAGTTCTTGTCCTCATTTTGGACATTATATATATTCCTGGAAAGCTGTTTAAAATAAAAAAGCAATTGTGAATTCAATCATAATTCTCAAGAAAAAAACTATCCCAGGATGTAATCACACGTGAGTATACTGATATTTATTAGGAAACAATAGTATTTCTTTGAATATATAGATCTAATTCTCTTTAATAAGTGACGCAAGAAAAACCAATTAAATGCATCTAAATAGTCTTTACATAATAATATTCTAAGCATAAAAACTCAGGCTTAATTCTCATTTCACTGAGAATTCTCAATAGCTCCAGATGATAATTAATAAGGCTATGGCTAAAGAGAAGCACATGCCTAAGCAACACAGCCAACTTATTTTGAGGGCAGCCCCAAATTAATTTGATAAAGCGCTTATAATGGCAGTTTCAAAGTCCTCAAGTCTATCTTTTATAATACTCTTTTCAAAAATATTTATCTCTATGATTTAGGAAAAAATCAATTTGGACTTGAAGTTAGGAATGAAAATAGAATCAGTGGCTGGCCTGTATGGATTAAATTATTGTGAAAATAAAATTAATACTACACATAAAAAAACGTGTAAATCTAAGACGTTAGTAATATAATATGGACGAAGAACTCAAGTGGGTAGAAAAAAGCCTTAGCAAATAAATCAGGATTTGGAAGGATGGCTAAGCATATGCTATTTGAGATAAGGTTACCAGAACTACATTTTAGAATTTGCTATAAGCCTGCCCTACCAGACCTTTAAATCCCAGCAATGGAATCCAAAAATATCACCACAGCTAATATACCAGCAGTATGAAGTCAATAATCCTAGTTAGGTTTGAGAGTTGTAGAAGATATAAGGAGAAGAATGAATAAAAATGGAGAGGCTGAATAAATGGATAAAAATGGAGTGAGTCCACCCTGGCAGGAGGTACATGTAGCTGGGCCAATGTTGGCGAGGTGCTGTGGGCCCATCGGCAGTGGGGCATGTCAGCCACAGCAGACTTGTGCCTCTGGGCCATTTCAAACAGCCACACAGGGGATCTGCCTCACATTCCAACGCCTAAAATGATTGTGCACTGCCTTCCCTGGGGCCAGACCCATCCATCTGCACTTCTGAGCGAGCCAACAACAGCTGCATGCTGCAGAGAGCTGCGCCTGAGGCCTGCAGCAATGGTGAGCCCAAGACTAGCAACCAGCCACACTGGGAGCCTAACTCGCTTAAAAGCCTAACTTGCAGCCAGCCCTGCTGGGGCTTGCCCCACCCAAAAAGCAACCATAGCAGCTGCACATGGCTGAGCACTACAACCAGCTGGCCCAGGGGCCAGCCTAGCCTAGCCTAGCCATGCACCTATCGCAAGAGCAGCCCCACCACAACAGAAGGGCACACAGAGTGCATACAGGGGACACTCCTGGAATATTTGGAATGGGTGACAAGAGGTAAGCACCCTGCTAGGCCCCATAAAAGGGATGACTTACTTAAGGCCACATCTCCAAGATTGAGAGACGTAGCTGATCTATCTAATACATAGATAAACACAGAGAAGTTGGCAAAATGAGAAGACAAAGGAATATATGCCAAATAAGGAAACGAGACAAATCCTCAGAAAAAGAACTAAATGAAACAGAGATAATCTGCCTGATAAAAAGTACAAAATAATAGTCATAAGGATGCTCACTGATCTTGGGAGAATAATAGATGAACGCAGTGAGAACTTCAACTAAGAACTGGAAAATATAAAAAAGATCCAATCAGAAATGAAGAATACAAAAATGGAAAACTTCACTAGAGGGAATAAACAGCACAGTAGACGACAAAAAAGAACAAATCACTGATCTGGATGAAAGCAAAGAGGAAATCACCCAAGCTGAACTAGCAAAAGAAAAAAGAATTAAAAAGAACAAGGACAGTCTAAGGGGACCTCTGGGACAACATTAAGCACACTAACATCCATATTATAGATGTCCCAGCAGGAGAAGAGAGAAACAAAGGGGCAGAGAACCTACTTGAAGAGATAATAGCTGAAAACTTCCTTAACCTAAGGAAGGAAACAGACATCCAGGTACGGGAAGCACAGAGAGCACCAAAGAAGATGAACCCAAAGGGGCCCACACCGAGACACAGTATAATTAAAGTGTGTCAAGAATTAAAGATAAAGAGAGAATCCTAAAAGCCGCAAGAGAAATGCAACAAGTTACATACAAAGGAAACCCCATAAGGCTACCTATCAGCTGACTTCTCAGCAGAAAACTTACAGGCTAGAAGGGAGTGGTACGATATATTCCAAGTGCTGAAAGGGAAAAAACCTGCAGCCAAGAATACTCTACCTGGCAAGGTTATCATTCAGAATGGAAGAAGAGATAAAAGAGTTTTCCAGATAAGCAAAAACTATAGGAGTTTATCACCACAAAAACCGGCCTTACAAGAAATGGTAAGAGGACTTACTTAAGTGGAAAAGAAAAGACCACAAATAGGAATAAGAAAATTATCAAAGACAAGCAATCACTGGTCAAGGCAAATATACAGTAAAGGTAGTGGATCAACCACCTATAAAGCCAGCATGAAGGTCAAACAACAAAAGTACTAAAAATATCTATCTCCATGATAAGAGGTTAAGGAATACACACACACACAAAAAGGAGGTAAAATATGATATCAAAAACATAAAATGTATGTAGGGGGAGTAAAAGTTTAGAGTTTTTAGTAGGAGGTCAAATTTAAGAGACCATTAACTTAATATAGATTATTTTCATAGGTTACTATATATGAACCTCATGGTAATCACAAACCAGAAACCTATAATAAATACACAAAAAATAAAGAGAAAGGAACCCAAACATAATACTAAAGAAAACCATCAAATCACAAAGCAAGAAAGCAAGAGAAGAAAGGAACAGGGAAGAACTACTAAAACACCCAGAAAAAAAGTAACAAAATGGCAATAAGTACATACTTACCAATAGCTACTTTAAATGTCAATAAGACTAAATGCTCCAATCAAAAGACATAGGGTAGCTGAATGGATACAAAAACAAGACCCATATATATGCTGCATAGAAGAGACACACTTCAGACCTAAAGACACTCACAAACTGAAAGTGAAGGGATGGAAAAAGATACTCCATGCAAATGGAAATGAAAAGAAAGCTGGGGGCAGCAATATTTATAACAGACAAAATAGACTTTAAAACAAAAACTGTAACAAGAGACAAAGAAGGGCACTACTTAATGATCAAGGGAACAATCCAACAAGAGGACATAACACATGTAAATATCTATGCACCCAACATAGGAGCACCTAAATACATAAAGCAATTATTAACAGACATAAAACAAAAAATTGATAGTAACACAATAATAACAGGGAACTTTAACACTCCACTTACATCAATGGATAGATAACCCAAGCAGAAAATCAATAAGGAAACATTGGCCTTAAATGACACATTAGATAGGCGGACTTGGTAGATATATACAGAACATTCCATCCAAAAACTGCAGAATACACATTCTTTTTGAATGCACATGGAACATTCTCTAGGATAGATCACATATTAGGCCACAAAACAAGTCTCAATAAATTTAAGAAGACTGAAATAATGCCAAGCATCTTTTCTGACCACAACAGTATGAAACTAGAAATCAACTACAAGAAAAAAACTGGAAAAGCCACAAGTATGTGGAGATGAAACAAAATGCTACTGACAACAATTGGGTCAACACAGAAATCAAAAAATACCTGGAGACAAATGAAAACAAAAATACAACATATCAAAATTTATGAGATACAGCAAGTGGTAGTAAGAGGGAATTTTATAGCAACAGAGGCCTATTTGAACAAACAAGAAAAATCTTGAATAAACAATCCCTAACAATACACCTAAAGGAACTAGAAAAAGAAGAACAAAGCCCAAAATGAGAAGAAGGAAAGAAATAATAAAAATCAGAGTGGAAATAAATGAAACAGAGACTAAAAAAAAAACAATAGAAAAAAAATCAATGAAACTAAGAGCTGGTTCTCTGAAAATATAAACAAAATTAACAAACCTCTGGAAGACTCACCAAGAAAAAAGAGAGAAGGCTCAAATAAATAAGAAATGAAAGAGGAGAAATTACAATGGACATCACTGAAATACAAAGGATTATAAGAGAATACTATGAAAAGCTATACACCAACAAACTGGATAGTCTGGAAGAAATGGATAAATTCTTAGAATCATAAAACTTTCCAAAACTGAAGAAGAAAAAAAAAGAGAATCTGAATAGACTGATCACTAGTAAGGAGAATGAAATAGTAATCAAAAACCTCCCAAAAAACAAAAGCCCAGAACCAGACAGCTTCCCAGTGAATTCCACCAAACCTTCAGAGAAGACTTAATACTTACCCTTCTCAAAGTCTTCCAAAAAGTTGATGAGGAGGAGATGCTTCCTAATTCATTCTACGAGGTCAACATTACCCTGAGACCAAAACCAGACAAGGACAACACAAAAAAGGAAAACTACAGGCCAATATCACTGATGAACATAGATGCAAAAATCCTCAACAAAATACTAGCAAATCGAATACAATACATCAAAAGGATCATACACCTCGATCAAGTGGGATTTATTCCAGGGATGCAAGGATGGTTCAACATCTGCAAATAATCAGCATGATACACCACATTAACAAAAAAAGAACAAAAGTCACACGATCATCTCAATAGAAGCAGAGAAAGCATTTAACAAGATACAGCATCCATTTATGATAAAAACTCAGAATAAAATGGGTATAGAAGGAAAGTACCTCAACATAATAAAGGAAATATATGACAAACTCACAGCCAACATCATACTCAATGGTGAAAAACCAAAAGCTATCCCTTTAAGGACAGAAACCAGACAAGCATGCCCACTTTCACCACTCTTCTTAAACACAGTATTGGAGTCCTAGTCAGAGCAATCAGGCAATAAAAAGAAATAAAAGGGACCCAAATTGGAAAGGAAGAAGTAAAACTGTCACTATTTGCAGATGACATGATTTTATATACAGAAAACCCTAAAGAATCCACCAAAAAACTATCAGAAATAATAAACAAATACAGTAAAGTTACAGGGTACAAAATCAACATACAAAAATCAGTTGCATTTCTATACACTAACAACAAAATAGCAGAAAGAGAACTTAAGAATACAATCCCATTTACAATCACAACAAAAAGAATAAAATATCTAGGAATAAATTTAACCAAAGAGGTACAAGACCTGTACACTGAAAACTAAAAAACACTGTTGAAAGAAATTGAAGAAGACAAAGAAATGGAAAGATATTCTGTGCTCGGGGCCAGCCCGGTGGCGCAAGTGGTTAAGTGTGCACGCTCTGCTTCGGCGGTCCAGGGTTCACCGGTTCGGATCTCGGGTGTGCACCGACGCACCACTTGTCAGGCCATTCTGTGGCGGCGTCCCATGTAAAGTGGAGAAGATGGGAACAGATGTTGGCCCAGGGCCAGTCGTCCTTAGCAAAAAAGAGGAGGATTGCTAGATATTAGCTCAGGGCTGATCTTCCTCACACACACACAAAAAAGATATTCTGAGCTCATGGATTGGAAGAGTTAACATGTCAAAATGTCCACACTTCGTAAAGCAATCTACAAAGATTGCACACAATGCAATCTCAACAAAGTCCCAACAACATTTTCCACGGAAATAGAACAAAGAATCCTAAAATTTATACGGAACAATAAAAGACCCCAAATAGCCAAAGAAATCCTAAGAAAAAAGAACAAAGTTGGAGGTATCACCCTCCCTGATTTCAAAATATACTACAAAGCTATAGTAATCAAAACAGCGAGGTACTGGCACAAAAACAGGCACACATATCAATGGAACAGAACTGAGAGCCCAGAAATAAATCTATGCACCTATGGATAGCTAATTTTCAACAAGTGAGCCAAGAACATACAACAGAGAAAGGAAAGTCTCTTCAATAAATGATGCTTGGAAAACTGGACAGACACATGTAAAAGAATGAAAGTAGACCATTATCTTACCATATAGAAAAATTACTCAAAATGGACTGAAGACTTGAATGTAAGACCTGAAACTATAAAAATTCTAGAAGAAAACACAGGCATATGCTCTTCAATATCGGTCTTAGTAGTATCTTTCTTTTTTTTTTTTTATAATTTTATTTATTTATTTTTTTCCCCCAAAGCCCCAGTAGATAGCTGTATGTCATAGCTGCACATCCTTCTAGTTGCTGTACGTGGGACGTGGCCTCAGCATGGCCGGAGAAGCGGTGCATCGGTGCGCGCCCGGGATCCGAACCCGGGCCCCCAGCAGCGGAGCACGTGCACTTAACCGCTAAGCCATGGGGCCAGCCCAGTAGTATCTTTCTGAATACCATGGCTCATCAGGGAAGGCAAACAAAAGAAAAAACAAACAAACGGGACTACATCAAACTAAAAGCTTCTGCACAGCAAAGGAAACTATCAATAAAATGAAAAGGCAACCTAACAATTGGGAGAAGATATTTGGAAATCACATATCTGATAAGGGGTTAATATCCAAAATATATAAATACCTCATACAACTCACCAACAACAACAAAAAACAATTAAAAATGGGCAAAGGATCTGAACAGACATTTTTCCAAAGAAGATATACAGATGGCCAACAGGCACATGAAAAGATGTTCAATATCATTAATTATTAGGGAAATGCAAATCAAAACTACAATGAGATATCACGTCATGTCCGTCAGAATGGCTACAATTAACAAGACAAGAAATAAGTATTAGAGGGGATGTGGAGAAAAGGGAATCCTCATACACTGCTACTGGGAATGTAAACTGGTGCAGCCATTATGGAAAACAGTATGGAGATTCCTCAAAAAATTAATAGAACTACCATGTGATCCAGCTATTCCACTTCTGGGTATTTATCCAAAGAACATGACAACACTAAGTCAAAAAGATAATTTCCACCCCTATGTTCACTGAAGCATTATTCATAATAGTCAAGACTTGGAAACAATCTAAGTGCCCATCAATGGATGAATGGATAAAGATGTGGTGTATATATACTACTCAGCCATAAAAAAAGATGAAATCTTGTCCATAGGTCTTGCCCAAGGTCCAACAACATAGATGGACCTTGAGGGCATTATGCTAAGCAAAATAAGTCAGCTGGAGAAAGTCAAATACCATATGATTTCACTTACAAGTGGAAGATAAAAACAACAAACACACAGAAAGATTAGATTGGTGGTTACCAGAGGGGAAGGGGAAAGGGAGGAGGGCAAAAGGGCACATATGTACAGAGATGGATGGTAATCAGTCTTTGGGTGGTGAACATGATGTACTCCACACAGAAATCGAAATATAATGAGGTAAACCTAAACTTTATATAACGTCATAAGCCAATGTTACCTGAATTAAAAAAAAATGGAGAGTGAATAGGAATAAATAAGTAGACTGATGTCCAGGTTTTTATAAATTATAGTGACACAAGAAATATCATATAGTGCATATATATACTAGATATTCAGTAATATATTCATCTCATACAGTATCTAATACTTAACAACTGATCAAAGAATAACTTAATTTTTAAAAGATGAAAAATATGTTTATGTTAATAAGTTGCTATAATTTTCAATAAAAAGTATTAGTTAATTTGTCTACCTTTGGTCCTGAAACTGGGTGGATGGTATTTTTGGCAGATATAGGATGAGGAAAGGTATTCTGGAATGCAAATGCAGAGGAGACAGGATAACCAATCCCACAAGTTGGGTAAGTCAGTCTACCATCAACCTAAAAATAAAAACGTGAAAAAGATTACAGATGAGAAATTAGTTCTAATAGTATACGATGATCCAGGAGGCATTAGCATCTCTTATAATAACTAATAGTTAAGAGCACTATCTCAGAGGCCAATTTTGTTTATCATAACGCCACAAAACTCTGCTTTATTATAGAGCATGAGGCTGGGGTACCTTTGGCACACAGGGCTTTTCAGAGTGGCTGTGCAATCTTAGACACAACAAACCACTGGACCTGCCTTTGAACTGAGTTAAAACAAAGACCTCTGAACGATCTTGGTTCCCTCAAGGCTTCCCATTCCTGAAAAAGGGGTGGGGAGGGAAGTCACAGATCAACAGGCCAATCAGGGATTTTAAAAATAAAAATAATTTTCTGTCAGACTGAGTAAAGACAAGATCTGTGTTCTTAAATAGACTAATTGAGACAATAATTTGCTTTGTCGCTAATTTTCAGTATAGTGATACCACCATTAATTAATGTCATGAAAACAGTTTACTTTTATAAGACAACTGAAACAGAAATCTTACAAAGCAACTGTGTACATCAATGGCTGTATGATAAAACTATCTTTCACACAGCTATTTATCATCAGTCATTAAGGTTAAGCCTGTCAACTTCTTCCAAATTTGAAATTTGGTATGGGCACTTCTTTCTGCACCTTTTTCCAGTTTACCAGAAATCCTTTCCCTTCTTTAAAAGTCAAGTACTATCTGATTTACTAGAGTAGATTAAAAATTCAATTAGGCATCTGCATTTTAACTCCTCTGCCAATGCCTTCCAGCCAAAGACTACCAGAAACATATCTATAGGTGTACACACTGGGTTTATTGCTCCTTATAATGAGGGAAGACTGCACACCATGGGAAACCTAATAAGAGGGGTGTCTCATGAAGAGGGTCTTAAAAGGGACTTATTTATTGGACTTAGGCACATGTTACGTGATTTAAGGGACAGTTTAAGAAAGTGGGGCTTTGCTGTGGACTGGAAGCTCTCAGAAAACAGGGATAATTGTATAACTAAGTATCTGAATAAATCTTATCTAATGAGACAGGAAGAATGTATTAAGACCAAAGCAATGATTGCTAATGAAGCAGCAGTCACTCATGTTAGCCAGGATAGGAGGATGCTTGCCCATTTTTGTGGTCTGGCAACGTCCATACTTTTGTTTGTGTTCAGACACGATTATGGAGTGGTCTTGATTTTGTCTTGATCGATCACAGTCATAGAGTGGCCTTGACTGATGTTGATATTCTGTGAAACTGTTTATGTTCAACAGGAGAGTCTCAAGGCCTAGCTGTGAGTGCTAGGCCAGCTCCCAGCAACACCTAGGCCTAGCTGATAGTACCAAGCCAGCTCCTAGATGTAAGGAGCTGCTTTTCTTTTTCTCTCCTCTTATTTCTTGCAAGAAAAAAGCAAGAGACCTGGTTGTGAGAGCTAGAAAGTTTATATCTCATAACCACTTTGTTCTAGAATCTAGAGCTGACAAGCTTGGTAAGGGCTTTTCTTTCTCTTTTTCTTCTTTTCTTTTTCTAATAGAATTCAGTTTAGGCTTCTTCTATCATAGCTCCAAACTTGAGTCAAACCCCATTCTCCCTTCTTGAGGCCTCATAAATACTTTGTGTGTGTTAAAGTTTTCTAGCACATTTGGCATTACTTTAGTTAATACTGAATGATTTCTATATCCATTAAAATTTTAGAAAGAAGTGTGCCCTTGAAATACAGCCTCTTTGTTAAGAGCAAGTATACCTCTAGGTCCCACTTTAAGTACAACTTAAACTCTACTTTAGTCCTAATAATTGTAGGACTCTGGTTGTATTAGCACCAGCACCTTAAGTCATGGAGACTTCCTAACAATCTAGGAATATTTTTGTTTCAGGAAATTTACTAACATCACTTCCATCTTAATTTAAATCTTACCACATTAGAGTTAGGAGAAATTCCATTTCTGATTGTGTTGCTACTAGAATGTAGAGGTGGAGTGGCAGAAGGTCCCAATACATCTTGCTTTCTCACTAGCTGATTTTCATTTAGTTCTTTATTTAACCATGTGATCACTTAAATAAAAGAACAAGAAACAAGGTAAAGAATTTTTTTTTTTCCCCTCCAAAGCCCCAGTAGATAGTTGTATGTCATAGTTGCACAGCCTTCTAGTTGCTGTATGTGGGACGCGGCCTCAGCACGGCCGGAGAAGCGGTGCGTCAGTGTGCACCCGGGAACCGAACCCAGGCCGCCAGCAGCGGAGCATGCGCACTTAACCGCTAAGCCACGGGGCCGGCCCCGGGAATTTTGACTATTTTTATTTTCCTAATAATTTTAAACACTTAAAAATTATATTGAGATATTTTTTAATTTTAAGGTTTTAAAAGTACCTAACGTCACAGGGGAACAATACAGGTTCACCTAAATTTTTATCATTAAAGATTATTATTTTAGCAACTGCCTCATAGGACTCCTTATTCTATCACGATCAGAAGCATATATTTCTGCTAGTCAAGGATCTCTTTGAAAGCTTTCATTTCTAGAATGATATCTTACAGTTCATTTAAAATTCACACTCTTACGTCTGATAACCAATACCAGAAACCGAGAAAATGTTAAAAGCTTAATCTTATATGTCAGTTTCAAATAATTCATATTATTGCTCCTAGGTAAACAGAGCAATTAGAAAAAGAAGTAGCGAAGAATTTAAACAGTAAATTATAGTCAATATTTTCAGCACTTTTAATTTTGGGTTGTTGACACGTGTGATACGGTTTTCTTTATAATGATGGTTAACTGTTTTACAGGGCAGATGATATAATTTACTATAGCAAAGACTTTAATACAGTATATTCAACGCAGAAATTATTTGTATATAGCAATATCTTGATTTACACCTAGACTTTTATGAATTCAAATAAAATTCTCAGGTTAAGAACATAACTACAAACTTCATTTACATAAAAAGGTAAAATACTTACACTTTTCATTATTTTTTAGAAGCTGTTTGCTTTCTTCAAGTTTTTGAACTGTAGCTTCTAACTGTTCTTGTAATTTGCATACCTGAAATATGACAATCTTCATAATAAGTATAATAAAGGCTAAAATAAAAACTGAAGAAATGTATTACTATTAAATAATTAAATCATTACTATTAATTATTATTCAAGAATAAAGGAATTAGCTCACCTATGTGATAAAATATTTATTTTATACATAGACACACACATATACATACGTATATGTGAACACTCAAAGTATTTGAGCCATCATAAGTAACTTTTCAAACTGAAATAGGTTATTAACTCTGTTGAATCTAGTCATGTTCTTTTGGGGAAAAAAAAAAAAAAGCCAAAGCCATTCTCTAATATAACAAAGGAGAAATTTTAAAAAATACATCTGAGGAAATTTGTTCTACTTTGCAAATAGTAACACACGCAAAAATCTAAAATACTAACTACCTCTTGCTCTTTAATTCGGAGAGACTGTCCAACATCTTGTAATTCCTTTTGCTCCTTTTGTAATTTTTCTTCCTTCTCAGCCAGGAGTTTCTCTTGCTGAACAGTTACTGTGTTCTTCAGTTTCAATTTACCCATTAAAGTTTTCAGATCACCTTGTAACTTCTTGATAATTTCATTTGCCTGTAAAAGAGCTTCATATGTATATCTCTACATAATCCAATGAAATATTAACATTCTATTAAATTTTTAAAAACAAACCTTAAGAAGTTCAGCTGATAATGATTTTATTGTAGCTTCAAGTTTTCCTAGTTGTACCTGATTTTTCTCACCATTTTCTTCTAAAGCCACCTGATATATATTTTAAAAAACATGACTATTAGGACATTTGTGTCTGTTTAGGAAAAACATCACTTGTACATGTGATCATCAATTTGTTTACAAAATTTTAAAATAAACCTTTTGTTCCTGGATTGTATCAAATGCTTCTTTTGTTCTTAGAACAAGCTGCTCCTTATCCTTGATTTCCTGTTCTAAAACAGCCACTTTTGTTTGTAGCTGATTAATATGCTTTTCTTTTTCATGGCATTCAGCATCTAGCATCGAATTCTCTCTTCGCAAAGAGAGGACTTCTTGCTTAGCCCGCTGAAGCTCCTAGAGGAGGGGAAAAAAATGATGCACTATGAAAAAGGGAAGTTGGCTGGTCTGGTTATTTATAATTAAGATGTTTAAAACATAAAAAATATCTTTAATAATTTTAAAGTTCTAGTACTGATGTATTTTTAAAGGACATGAAAGTCTCTCTAAAGGTATATGTAACTTGTAGATTTGGAATATAATTATAAAATACAGTAATACCTAATTCAATCACAACAAGGGAAAATAAAATGCCGTGATTTATAAATAAATTACTATAATTTTAAAAACTAGTAACAAGAATTTTCTGATGTCTTGAAATTTACAGTTTTAAAAAATCACTTAGGTAATAAACACTCATTATAATAGAACTTCAAAATATACAAAATAGATAAAAAAAACCCTATCATTCTACCATCTAAGCAGTGGTTCTCAATCTAGTCTGCATACTGAAATCACCTGGGAAGCTTTAAAAACTACTGATGCCTGGTACCATCCCCAACAGATTCTGACTTAGTGAGTGTGAGATAGGGCCTGGGCACTTGGACAGTTAAGAGCTCTTGAACTGATTCTAAGAATAGACAAGGGTGAGAGCCATGATCTTGAGTTCACATTTTTCTCTGTTGCTTACATATATAGATTTTTTTTTTAAAAAAAGGGCTCATACTGTATAGTTTTATAATCTACCTTCTTCATATATTACAAATATCTTCCCATGTCAACAAATATGTTAACATTTCTGGATTTCCTTTTGGTTTGTTCTTTAAAACAAAAACAGCAAAAATAATAGTTCATTAAAAATAGATTTTTTAAAAATCTAGAATAAATCACTTCTCAATCATCTAATACCAACCCAAATGTTGCTGGTATACAAAAGTCCAGTATATAGTATTCCTAGGTAATTTTCATTTTTAACAAAAACCTAAACTTTGTAGTATTATACCATAGTGGTTTTAGAAGCACAAACTTTGCTATCAGACAGACTTGATTATATAAAAACCAACATAATGAAGCACTCTGTTTATACACTGGCCAGTTTCAAAGCTAAGACAGAAGAAATCATACAGCATTATAATGAAGCATTCGGGCTATCCAATGTACTATGGAGACTGAAATGTTTTACTAACTGGCGTGAAAAGTGAAGAGGGTAGGGAGGATGAACTGAAAACATCTACTGTTGGGACAGAATGCTATGAAGATCTGAACATAAAATTGGCAGGCTTAGAGTTGCTAAGCCTAACAGACTGGTGAAATGGAGTTAGAAGTCTTGTGAGTTAGAATAACACTAGTGACCTTTTCATTTAAATATGATAACACTTCACAAAATCTACATATGTTTCCTGATAATTCATATAACAATAATGTATAATAATGCTAGGAAGGATTCTATTTTCAGTGCCAAAGCATCATCAAATGTGCCACTATAGCAAGAATTTTTAAATTTCTCTGCTGCCTGAAGGAACAAGGTAGTACTAAAGACAGGCTAATAATAGAGGGTTCCAATCCTTGCTCCTCCACTTATTGGCTTTGTGACCTTGGGCAAGTCACTTAACCTCTCTGTGTCTTAGTTTCATCGTCTGTAAAATGGGGACAATAATAGTACCTACTTTAAAAGAACTGTTATAAGAATTAAACAAGTTAATATATGTAAAGCACTTAAAACAGTGCTTGTCACATAGCAAGTGTTCAGTAAGCATTAGCTATCATTATTACTATTATCATTATTATTACTAGACACTTAACTTCATATAGTTGTTAGATATCTTGAGTAGGCTGAGAAAGAACCAGCCCTGTGAACACTGAGTACCCTGAGCTACACGGTGCTGATATTAAAAGTACACTGAGAGATCTGAGGGCTGTGCCAATGAGCTGTTCCTCAAGACTCTAATTAAAAATATCCAAAGGCCAGCCCCAGTGGCCTAATGGTTAAGTTCGGCACGCTCTGCTCAGCAGCCCGGGTTCAGATCCTGGGCGCAGACCTATACCACTCATCTGTCAGTGGCCATGCTATGACAGTGGCTCACGTCTCACAGACAAAAAAAAAAAAAAAGAGGAAGATTGGCAACAGATGTTAACTCAGAGCGAATCTTCTTCAGGAAAAAAAAAAATCCAAATTTACCTTAGTTCTGTTCTGAATTAGCCCCTTTTATCAGATGTTAGATTCTCAATTTTTTTTTTTGCATTGTCTGAACTGATTACCTTAACACCACAAGACACTCTTGCAGAACATCCAGAGGAACACCACCCACACAAGTAATAAAGTAACCAAATTAAAATCAAATTACCAAATTAAAATGGTTCTTTTAAACGGGGGGGGGGG